AAGTTCAAATTAGTAAATCAATAAAGTAACATGAAATAATATATCCAAGAAAAGGAAGTAACAATAAATGAGATGTTGCAATAGTTTACTTTTCACATAAACTTCTTGCGTGCTTGACTAACTCCAGTGTTGCTAGAAATATTTATCTCATTAAAGGACAAAGAAAAATCAAGTTAAAATGAACAGGAAGGCGATGCACAAAATTACCTCAAGCTAAAATATCAAAATTAGTGCAAAAGGACATTAATGGCTGAATCGAGTGAGAAAAACAGGATTCGTAAAGTCTATTAGGACAAAAAATTATTACTAATGATACTAAGAACATGAAAGCGACACAAAGATTTCGATTTAATCATCCTTACTCCAATAGCATTCTTTACTGGACCTAATACACAATCAAATGAATATTACCAAAAGCCGATTTAACTGAGTAACTGAAGCTACTGAATACATAGAGAAAATACAATGACTGAAATAGATCAAAAACCTAAATGGTTTGCTATATTCCAGCATATTCAAGAGGGATGAGAGAGGAATGTAGATATTCACCGATATCTCGGAGAGGAGATTGCAGCAGAGGGTGGCAAACTTCTCAATTCCCAATAATAATCTTTTCTCTAGATATCTAAGTTGTCTTTTTCTTTTGCTGCAGGAAAGAGAGTTTAGAGTTGCATGTTTTCTTGGAAAGAAATACATCGGTAGTCTCCTCAAAGCAACAAGATAGAAGGCTGTAGAAGATGGAAAAAAGAGGCACTAAAATAAGTAAGGAATTGCTATAAGCAGGAGAGCTTGATGCTCTGTTTTAAGTTTTAACAGACTAAACAAACAAAATCAATGTCCAACATTGAAAGGCAAGGATATCCAATAGCTCCTACCAACTCAAGACTAACTCCACTGTCTCATTGAAATGGTAATAAAACAGCCCCAAAATGGCTCTCATTTACACTATAACTGGACCATGTTGACTCAATTTTAAAACAAAATAGAATTGCAGGTTGGGCCATAATAAAATGAGATCAAGAGCACAAAACTGCATATGGGATATGAAAAGCGTTCTTAGGAGTACCTAGATACCGTAATGCTGCATATCAATATGTTTCCATAACTCGTGGAGAAATGGCTTTTATCAACTGTCCATTCATCCTTGCCCAATCCAAAGTCGAATAGCTGGGTAATGCAGCTCTCCCATATTATAACTGAAGTATACATCAAAGCATGTTGAACAATAAGCATGGAATGTATAGTTAAATTCCCTCAAATTGAACTCATATGAATAGGGTTAAATTCCTGGATAATCCCGACCCCAAAATATTTTAGGTTGTAGCAAAGATCATTTCAAAGTTTCCATTTTGAACAAAATAAAGCATAAATACCAAAACATTACCTAAAAAACACAGTTCAAATTGAAATCAATGACCAAAACCAAAAGAGAGAAGATTCAATAGCATTAGCTTCACAAGGAGGAAGGCCATGGAGGTTCAGTGACACCAACATAATCAACTCGAGCCTGGGGCTGCCACATGGCACTTACAATCTACAAATTGGGTGGAATATTCAATAGAGCTTCGTCTTTCCAGCCTCTCCCTCAGTACCTCTCGTCAGTTACGTCTTTCCATTGTAAAGAGTTTATTGGTATTTGTATGTATTTAAATCATGCAGAAAGAGACCTTGTAGTCAACCACCTGATTTATTAAAGGATTGAATCCAAAAAATATTGTCACAAAAGGCAATTCACTGCAATAAATAACCACTTAACTTGGGATGTAAATAAATTATGAGAAAATCATGTCCATGAAAAGAATTAAGAAGCAAAGTGCCTGGTTTGTACTTGAAAGACCAAAAAAGAACTGAGTTTTAAGTATATGAGAGCAGGCGAGAAGAAGGGTAAGTCAAAGAAAGAAGAAGAGCTGTGAATGAGAGGAGAGAATTCTGGAACATAAGTAGAAAACCGAAAATAGACCTTCAAAGTGATGTTTAAAATTGCGCGTGGGATACAGGTGGAGGAAAGAAATCGATGCCTATTTAACTCAAGCCCACGTCAGTGCAATCTCTATTGACCAAAAGCCTAAGAAATCAAGATTAACTTTTATGCTCAAACTTCAAGAAAATATTCTTCACATACATCAACAATGATCAGGTACTAACAATCGTAAATTTTATAGTACATCAGAGTATATGTTTGAAAATTTTGAAAACTAAATATTTGCAGCCTTTGGGTGTAGAAGATATAAACATCCAGCAACGATTTAATCTTAAATTAAGAAATTTAATTGGACCATTAAACTCATGATGCAACATCCACTTCAACTTTAGACCCTAATAAAGCAAAGCAGCCACTGAAGCTTTATACAATACCTATACAATATACAACTGAAGCAACTTAGTGCCGTTTAACCCCAAAAAAAAAAAAATGAAGCTACTCATCAAGTATATTAATTGAGGCGAATACAATGTTTGAAAGCAGTTAAATTGTTTGGCTTAAACTGCAGTTTGCCCTACCCACTTTTATGGTTTTATCAACAGCCCAATATATAACTACGTCATCAGATATCATTGTACTCATAACTGCAATATAAGAAACTAAATTCCTTTAACCTTTGACAATTGTAAGGCAAAGTGATTGATATAAACCTGTTCAGAGATACCAAAGTGAGTCCCTTCCTTCCATTTGCCTTTCTTCCGCAAGTTTCAATTTTTCAAGAATTTACTGTTGGCAAAAAAGAAAAAAGTACAAATTGATTTATGGAAACCTACTGAAATAAAATCCACAAGAAAAAAAAAACATAAACGATTTCATTGTAGTAAAAAGAGAGAGAGAGAGACAATTTTATGTAAGCAAAGAAAAGGAAGAGGAATGAGAGGGGATTAAGCTCCAAAAACCAAGTCCAACCGAATCTCACGAAACAAAAGCTGGTAACAAACATAGCAAGGGGCAGCAAGGGTGGTGGGCTGGAGTTTGGAGGAAGGAGGGATGGTGACTAGGAGAAGAGAGAGATTTACCTTGATTCCTGAGTTGTGCTGCAAGGTGTAAGCAAGCGAAGGGGAGAAATTGGTCCGGTAATTAGAAGAGCAGGAAAGAAAGTGGTAATTAGAAGAGAGCAAGGATTGATTGAAATTAAGAGCAAGGAAGAGAGAGAGAAGGCAAAGGAAGGAGTGTGCACCCGATTCAATGAGGCTGTCTGCACCCACATGTCCCCAAGCCGCCCAAAAATCATGCAACCAACAAACACCCCCAGAGTTCGTGAAAATTACGGAGTAACCAGACCATTTCACTGTTCATCCGAGCTTACACACTTTTAGTGTAGCTATGATATGATATCTAGTCAGAATTTACCCTTTTTTTTGGGATGGGTGGGAAGAGGAGGTGGACTCTCACCCTGTTTGCGTGCAAGGTTCTTCATTTCTATGCTACTCTCCGAACAGATCATGACAAAGACATTGATAGCATAAATTATGCTGCACCTTCAGATGCCCTCCAAAACAGTATCAAAACCATGGACAACACCACGAAGAAATGGAAAGTACTAAAGACAAGCAACTATAAGAAACTTCCAGTAAAGTGAAACTTTAAGTCTGTTTATAACATATTATGGCAAAAAGCCACATCAATTTCTTTTTCTCAAGTTATATGTACAAACATAATCATACGACTGAGATCAACAGTGCGAGGAAACGTGCTTCATCCTCTTTAAGATTTCAGTCCATTTGATCCATAGCTCCAGAAACTAAAGAATATATGTGAAGTTTGTAAAAGATATTAGCACTGAAATGGAATAGAATATGAACCAGTGTTTGGATCTTTCACAGCTTTGAAATTGTCAGCGTTCATTCCAAATTGACCAGAATTGCAATTTCCAATTTCCCTCAGCTTACCTGATCAAAAGGTAAACAATTCAACTTCGTGAGAGATATCATCATATGCAATTGAACACACATATAAACTGGAAATAATTGATACCCTAAAATACTTTCACCATCAACCGTATCAAAGTAAAGCAGACAAAGTTAAGCAGATTTTGCTGCAATTATCCAGGGTTCAACAAAATGAACTCTCCTTGCTTGAGGTGCTAAATAGGGAAAAAGGAATAGGAGAAGCAGATATAACCCATAGAATGTAAGAATAAAGTCACAAACAATAATGTTGGCTGCCAATGAACTCAGAAAAAGTGACTCAACTGCACAAGGCGTGTTGAAAATATGCAGACAAACCAAGATCAGAAGTTCAATAAAAACATAAACAAAAGGATTGGAGTTGTTCTATCAACATAGTATGGTTTCCAAAATCTACACCTTGGGTTCAGGAAAGTACAAGAATCTATTCTCATTTAATCATGATCTCCAAATGCAGCAAAATAAACCATGAAGAGCTTGAACAAATTCGCCCTCTACAACTTCAAGCATTGCCAGGCAATTAATAATTTGCAAATACTTCACTACAAAATGAGTCCATCACTTCAACACGCATCACAGGATATGATGACAGAAACAAATGTAGTTCATTCTTGAACTACCTCAGCTTAACTAAATGCAATTTGTTCAGGCACTAAATGTTATGAAGGAAAAGCAGACAAAAGCACGCTCAATTGTACAAGCACAGTAACACATACCATAAGAAATACCTTCACTGTAGTCCACATATATGGAAGTGCATACATTTCCCTTGAACCATCCTTTTGCTAATCTCAATAATCGTTTGTCCATCACTTCCACAAGCATCTATTCTTTAGCAGCACCTGAAGCAAAGCTTTATCTGCTCACATTAACCTTCCCCTTCCTCCAGAATCTTCCTAATGCACTAGCCACCTCAGCTCACACTAGTTCCTCTTACTTTTGCAAAAATTCCAGATCCTCTCCTCCTCCTCCACTCTTCTCCCCCAGAACACATTTTCTTTTGCAAAAATGAAGCATTCCTATATTTACACATGAAGAGCAATAAAGAATCATTTAACAGCAACTACCCAAAGAAGTTCATACCACCAATGGTCAACAATCAGTTCTTCCTTCATCTTTTGACGTTTTTCATCTGCTAATGGCTTCAAGCGAACAATCTGTCTTCTAGCTTGATCATATGATGGGTCAACTTCCAAAACCTTTGTCATATCTGCATATTGTAATGAACATCAGCATAGGAAACAATAAATTGTGAAAAGCCATATGGACTATATGAGAAGATTAATGAATGCCATTGGCTTTGCGTGTGTGTGTGCTTGTGTGTGTGTGTGTGTGAGAGAGAGAGAGAGAGAGAACAAGCAAGATTGCAGCCATTACACATATAATAAAGCCACCACAAATCATAGATTAGTCTTCTTATAAGCACAAGTTTGTGCTAGAAGTTGCCAGCAGCTGCTCAATGACAGTAAAATATTCAAATTCTTACACCGACATACCTGCTATAGTCTCTTCAAATTGTTACAACTTTTCATACACCTCTGCTCTTCTTAGCAAAACACTTATGTAGTTAAGGTTTAGCTCCAATGCTTTTGTGCATTCTTTAATACCATCATCATATTTTTTTTCTGTAAAACAAACCACCAAAAAGAACTTCATCAAAATCCAGTCAAAAACTTACCAATGCATGACATATTTATAACAATGCATATAAATAATGATATCACATTAGGAGTTATTTGCCAATCGGCCAACAGGTATTAGCAACAGATAATGGAGGCTGCTGTAACGGCAACCACCACCAAGATGCTTAGTGAGGAGGCTAAGTGTATGGGTCCTCTCCAACTCAGGGAAAAGAATGGGAAAAGAATACTTTAATGGACAACAAATTATAGCTTTAGGAAAAATTCTAAATACTAAGATAAGTACCTTCGCTTCTCCAAAGATAAAGGATAAGTACATCTTGTCTGCCCCTATGAGCTGAAGAGAATTAATATCCAAATTTGATGGTTCAAATCAAATTGAAAGGGATACAGCTCAGATTGATGAAAACAAATCTTCGAGGAACCTTATTTGGACATAGCAAACAGACTTTCTTCCATGTTCACCATTGACACATTAAGGAGATTACATACAGATTAAGGCATAGCACGTTGCCATGGCCAACTTTCCTACTCGTCAAGATTCAAATCTATCAGCTGTCCGATGTAATTGGAACAATAATAAAAGCGAGGTCTATTTAGATCTGGCAAGAAGAGGTGTAGACAAAATGAGTATTAGCTGTTTATCACTATCAGAGCCAATATATCTTCTTTATAATAACTCAAATTCAGCCTTTATGTGACCATATCTAGATAACAATGTCACCAGTCAAGAAACTTCAAGGAAACCTATAATCATGTAAAAAGACTAATTAAACATTCACAATTTTCACAACAATGCAGTTGCAATAATATCCACTTGTCTCCTTAACAAAAAAAAAAGTCTTTGTTTCTGACATGAACTATGTACATTTTTATTACAATATTATTTTTAGAATTGGCCTCAAGTTCCATCAAATGCTCTCACAGAGAGAGTTTTTTATAACACAATCTTTATGTTTTACTACTCAGCCAAATGATACCCAAGATCAACCCATACTAATCAATTACAACATTCAAAAATGCATTCCAACTCATAGCTATAGAGAAAGTTAAAGAGCAACTTTTCAAGAAATACATGCAAAAAGTACAATTTTGCCATGTATCAACTCGGCAAGATGAAAGCTTACCAGTTTATTTAACATGCAGCATGATTTGTATGGCATACTGACCGTAATTCAACAGATTTGGATATACTGGACACAGCTGGTAAAGCAATATCATACTTAGACAATGCCTCTTCATCCTGGCCATCTTTAAACAATGTATTATCTTCAACTTTTGCATCGTTGGCTTCTGCTAATGCTTTCTGCTCCAAAGAGAGATAGCTTAAGAGATGACAAGAACTTCTAACAAAAATACAGCTACAAGAGTTTATAAAAAGAACCAGGGCAATAACAGGACAAGAGGATTCCCACGTGACTCCAGCTTGGATCTTCACCAAAAAATTCAGCTTCAACTTCTTTTTTGACTTTCAGAATGTTTTCTGCAATGCTGACCACCCCCAAGATAAACAGCCCAATCAGATACATTCAAAGCTTTAACAGAAGTTTCAAAAATAATCCTTTTCTGGTGGCTAACTACACACATTTTCACAGTCCAAGACAGTCCACATGAAGAAGTTCAATACCAAAAGAAAAGAGTCTTGATTCTTAACTGTGAATCACAATCAAGTAAACAACAGATATGCTAGTCTGGTAGATAATCTGCCAGATAAATAAAAGAACAAATTTCTGAACTATGCTTCTTCCTACCATGAACAGAATAGTTACTATCTAATCTAGCTAAAATAAAAAATCCAATCCTATTCAAGTGTACAACAGACGACATAAATTATATACCACTTCACCTGAAAGTGACTGAGTTGTATCATACAATTTTCACAAGTATCAAGATTGATACTGGGACAAATGATCAATAATCAATACTCATCTTAAATACACAAGATGTATTCAATGTAAAACCTATTTCGCCATTGTCAACACTTTGAAATATTTCAAACTCCAACCGAATATTTATTACTGAGAATAAAACAAAGGAACAATGTGGTAAGAATACTTCTCCCAACTGCAGCAGCTGGTCCCTGGTATATTGAATACGTTCCCTTCCCCAAAGAGAGTGTCTCCAGTATACAATAGAAAATTAAGAACAGATTGGAAAAATCAGCTAGAGCAAAAATAGCCCAATGGAACAAGTAAGAATATGGACCTAACAAACAAGGGTGATGATTGAGTATTGAGTATTACATAATTATGCAATTAACAAAATGGTTGCTAAGTCCATTACAACCTAAAAACTAGGGCATTAAGTTGGTTTAACATTTCGACAGGAAAAAAATAAACATCGCATATCATTATATATTCAACCAATGGTGCAGAAGTTCCATGCAACTGCCCCATTTTAAAATAGAAAATAATTCAAATGCATGCAGAGTCCTTTGCAAACTATCCTTGGATGCAAAAGTAAAAAAGTGAGATCACAGCTGTTCACCACCAAGTCGTAACAAAATCAAGTGCATACAGAGTGGCAGGTGGCGATCAGATAGACAGAACGGGGATCTCAATATTCATCATTATAAGGAAAATGAAAACCACAATTTTGAGGAGGCCAGGCCTCAAAAGGACCATCATTTTTTACTCCTTAAAACAATCTACTGGAGCTTTCATGTATGTAGGGCTCTTTATGGGCTACAAGATACTCGTTAAACGCCCACCTAAAGCCTACTCATGTTATCTCCATATTTACAGCAGATACACATCTTAAATGCACTACCAAGAATTAGGAACATTTTAATCAGTTCCCTCACAGGCTCGGCAAGGATAACTACATACAATGAGATATCAATAGCAATACACGCTGTTGAGAAACAAAAGCTGTGTGGTTTTATCCAGCAAAGAAAGCAGAGGAATTACAGAGGGGCATACCATAATTAGCACCCCAAGAATGTTTTCAGAAAAGAATCGAGTACCCAAACCAAATTGTCTGAAGAGAAAACACTGATTTTGAGGAATGAAAAAAATAAGTTGAGAACTCAACAATTAAATTTTGGCCCATAAAACTCCAGCTAAGCACATTAATATCAGCTCCATCAAGGAATCAATATCATCTTTCTCAAATCAAGACTATTCTCAAGCAAGAAGAGAAGCCAATAAGCTACATAAATGGCTTGCATCCCAGTGCTGCTGCAAAAATCAAGAATTTTTAATCACCTTAGAACTGTCATTTACGTATAAACACATCTTCAACTGTGCTAAAAGAAAGGTTCCATACACATAAATGAACAAGATTTCCATGATCCAACCACATTATCTGTTTTACTTGATACAGAGGCGAAAACACATGCTTCTTGGAAAACAAATTCCTTGCTGAACATAATGCACAAAACAACATCCTTGGAAAAAAATACCTTGCCTAACATAATGCAGAAAATGAAAAATGACATTCTTAAAAACAAATATCCTGCCAAACATTAAGCAGAAAACAAATTTCCACAATACATATGTGCGCATATCTATGTGATTATACATTTTTTCACATGTACAACTGGCCATGTTAATTTCCAATAACACAACTGCTACCATGTTTCCTGCACTAGTAAGTCCGCCAAACCTCAAATTCAAAAATTTAACAATCAAAACCAGCAAGAACAAGACTCAAACTTCCATAATCAGCTGCAAAACTTTTTCTTAAAAATGCAAAACCAAAAAATTAGCACTAAACCCAAAACTAAACTAAAATCTACAAAACGAAATACAGAATCAGCACCAAACAGCTTCACTTACACACCAAACCATAAAAATCCCAAAATTTTCTAATCTGTTCACCAAATTATCTAAGAACAGGCATAAATTCATCAAAAATTTAACATACTAACTAAAACTCGATAAGCCCAGAAAAAACAAACGAAAAAACCAGTACTTTTATATACCAAAAATCCAATCTTGAAGCAATGAACAGCTAGATAATTGAGGTAAACATGGACAGAAACCACAAAACCCAAGACCTGATATGTAATTTTGAAACAGATGACAATTAGACATGAACGAGGAGAGTGGAGCGGGCGCTGCCATGAGGCTGGAAAAAAGGAGATTAGAAGAACTGGCGTCGTTGTTATTGATTGAAGAGGGTTCAAAATGAGGACCAATCAGTCTGCTGCCATCTCAGATTGCACCTCCAGGTCTATAGCTTATCACTGTCTGATCAGCCTGAACATCTCAATCAAAAGCAATCTTCGCCGTCCAAATTTTTTGAATCGAAAAGATTCAAAATTTTAGAAGTAGATAGATGCTGAAGGGAGTTTGCAATTGCAAGGTTTAGATTTTCAGCCGTTTATTTGTGTTGCAAGCAGCCAAAGAACTAACTGAAATTACCTATAACCATTTTACTTTCCTGCCAAGATTCAAGAATTCAGTGTCTCTCTGCACTTGGACAACAAAAGACATACTTTGCAAACACAGACAATTACCATTTCTAAGGTTAAATGTCTGTGTTGCTAATCCAAGCAAGACATATCAAATGTGGCTTTTCCATAAACAAGAAATTGCATTACAGGGAATACTTCATATGACACAATGATCTTTCAAGATTTGCCTGGCAAGATCAATTGCTCCACTTTTCTTGTAGATCAGATGCAAGTTGTAAGCTGCTTCCCGACGAAGATCACAGTAACCTGACTTTGGAGAAGCCAGACCATCTGGTTTCTCATTTGGAAGGTTCGGCATGGGGCAATCACTTTCATGCATTGTAAGAACCTTTTCATAGTTTAAAGCAGCAAGAGAAACAAGACCGACATGATGATATGCTCGAGCTATATTATACAGTGCTTCCTGACTATATCTGCAAAGCTGTAAATTATTGTAAAGAAATGCCAATCCTTGGGCCACAGACTGATGTTTGTTTTGAAGTCTGTGACCTAGGGCCAAGTTTATCAATGCAGTTCCAGCACAAAGATTGACCAAGGGAATATCTGGCATCAGCTTGTAAGCTTCCAAATATTCCCGAACAGCTGCTTGATGCTGGTTGATCATGGTAAACTGGTGCCCGAAAATGAGAGTGAGTGGTACACAACTTTTGTGCTTGGTTCGCATGGTGTGCAAAAACTTGTTATGCTTTGAATATCGACTGTCCAGTTTTGACATTACTTTGTAATAGCAGTTCCATGCAGAAAAGCTATAAGGACGTTGATTAACAATATAGCGTGCATATTCAAAGCCGTGAGCAGGATCAGCAATATTGTATGCTATTTGGGCTCCCAGAGTTCTAAGTTCTTCGTTCCTTTCAACAGACAAAACATTGGAGGCCAATTTCAGAGTTAAATTAATGATTTCCAATGCTTCCCAATACTTTTTCAAGGATGCTAGTGATTTGCATAATTCTATAATGAGATGATGATGTTCTGCATCTCTTATAAGGTTTGGAAGAGGAAGCTCTCTTGGCGCTTGTTGGGGAGATTCATCCTCTGAATCATCACTTATCCACTCAATTCCAGCAGCCAAAGCAGCAGCTCTTTTTGCTTCCTTCTTTTTTAGTAACTTTTTTGCTCTGGACGCTCTAGACAGATCTGATGCTGAAGCTACAGGTCTAAATCCATGAAACACAGTATCAGTCCTAACATGATCAAGTATTTTTATCCGTTCAGAAAGAACACTTTTTGATAGCTTCTTCCTTGGCCTGACCTTTTGTTGTATAGTCTCAAGAAACAATGTCTCGCGAACCACAGGAAAAAAAACATCTACAAATGCCTCTAACAATCCTTTAGCTTTATAGATTTGAGAAAGCTTCAACTTTATCTTCCCATTAAGCCACCATGGTTTTGCTGCATTTAGGTTCAAGTTAAATAATGATTCTGATTCTTTAGGAGGACATAGAACAGAAATGGCTTCATCATCTTTATTTTCTTCAAGAAGAAGTGATGACAAAGCCAGCCGAGTATCAACACTATTCTCAAGTTTGTCTAAAGCTCTGTAGAAGTAATCAATTGATTGCAATCGTTTCCCCAGACAACAGCAACACTCAGCAATTTTCAGATACAGGCAACCATTGTTCTTAACATCATCTCCTACCAACATCATATAGTATTCTACTGCAGATTCATAATGCCCGTGATTCATTAGTGAATCTCCAATCTGAATAATCAACTGGGGATGATCATGTAAATTCTCATGTCTCAAAACATTGAAAAGAGCTTCTGCTTTTACCAAGTTTCCAAGGTGAATATGACATATTCCAGCTTTTGTA